ATTCAGGGGGAATATGAAGATAGTGGAAAGAACAGGGGGCATGAGAGAGATGGGGGAGAAAACAGGCATATCTCCTAAACCTACAGGTGTCATTTATAGGTTTAAGAGATATGTGTCTTCAATCTATAGAAAATAAAAATGAACCTGTCCCAATTTATTTAAGTGTAATAATTATCTAAAATGCTTTAACATACATCCTAATATTTAAGAAAATCTACTATTTTTAAGAAGATCTCCAGAGTTGTTCTGACTTCTTAAACCTGTACTATATAAAACGGGGTATATGAGTGTGTGCATGCATGAGTAAATGACTTTGCATTTTTGTAAGTATGTGTGTACATATGAGTGTATGTATATATGTGCATATGTAAGATGGGGCCTCATGTTTAAGTTGCGCCTTAGGCCTCACAAAGTCGAGAGCCGCCTCTGGCAGTGAGGACCCAGCAAACAGAACACACACAGGAAACAGATGAAGACAGAAGAGGTAAGGGTAAATAATTCATTAAAATAATTATTATTTGTAGCCTAATGTTGTATAAAGTACTGTTGCAGCAATGCAGAATGGCACCCTCTATGGAGGACTACAAATCTCAGAAGTACTTTATACAGAAATGCCATTGTTATATAAAGTATTGCTGGGATGTGTAGTTCTCAATAGCCTGTGCCATTCTGCATTGCTGTAAATATTAGGCACGCACCGATATATCGGCCGCCAAAACATATCGGCTGATAATGGGAACTTTTGGCTAAATGCCAAAAGTGCAATTTTTCTGCCGATACAGCGGAGCATCCCTGCTTTCTTTCCTCCCCGCTTGGCGCTGTTCTGTGTCCCAGCGGGGAAGAGAGAAAGTGACAGCCGGCCGAGCGCTGCGGGAGGAGAGTGCTGCGTTTGTGGGGTTTTTTTGGGGGGGGGTAGGGGAGGCCCCCATAAAAATCTTGCAACAGGGCCCTTTGTTCCTTAGGTTGTTAAGAACACTTTACATATTGCCATTGCCAAGTGTATAACGTTGGGTAATAAAAGTAAAAGATCACAAACTAAGCCTGTATGGCTAAATAAAAATGTAAAGCAACACATAAAGGAAAAGCGAGTGGCATTTAGAAAAAATAAGATGGAGGGGACGGCATTGGCGTTCCATAACTACAAAGAATGGAATAAAAGATGTAAACTAGTAATTCGGGCAGCTAAAATAGAGTGCGAAAAGCATATAGCCACAGTTAGTAAGAAACAATAAAAAAATTCTACCAATACATAAACAGTAAAAAGGGGAGAAAGGAGCAGATAGGCCCAATAAAGGACGAAAACGGGAAGTTAGTATCAAATGACAAGGAGAGGGCCGAAGTGCTGAACACTTTTTTCTCCTCAGTATACACTCACGAAAAATACTGGTTTAATGTACATGATGAAACACATAGTTAATCACAAAATATACCCAAGTGGTGGACGGAAACCGGGATACAACAAAGACTTGATCTACTTTATGCAAATAAAGCATTGGGACCAGATAACCTGCACCCCAAGATACTTAAGGAACTAAGCGAGGTTATAACAAGACCCTTATTCCTCATTTTTAAGGACTCTTTAATGACTGGTAGAGTTCCAAGTGACTGGCGGAGGACTACGGTAGTTCCAATATTTAAAAAGGGGGCAAGATGCCAACCTGGGAATTACAGAACAGTTAGTCTTACATCGGTAGTTTGTAAACTGTTAGAGGGAATGATTAAGGACTATTTGGTAGAATTTGTTCAGTATAATTAGTGATAATCTGCATGGGTTTGAGAAAGACCGTTCCTGTCAGACTAACCGGCTAACTTTTTACGAGGGGGTAAGTAGAGATAGCAACATTAGCAACAACTCTTTAAGATGAATTCTGTAACACAGACTAGAGGCCACCACCTAAAATTGGTAGAAAAAAAATTCCGCCACAAGGGGCGAAGGGGGTTCTTCTCAGTTCGAGCGGTTAGGGTCTGGAACTCTCTGCCACAGGCAGTGATTTCAGCAAATAGTGTGGAATCATTCAAGAAGCTTTTGGACAATTTCCAGGGGGTACAGGTACTCTTAAGAATGAGATGACTCAGGGACCTATATACACACACACATACACTATACACACACACACACACTTATGTCTTTATTCAACCTCAAATACTATGTAACTATGTAAGGTTAAAGAGGAACTTTACTCACCAATTTCACCAAAACAGTTACTTTTAATGCATGCCAACTATCAAGGTTGCCATTGTGCTTTTTTCACCTCTCAACTAAACTTTCAAGCCCACAAACATATGGGTCATACCAGATCATATTTGCAGCTCCATGGCAACTGCAATCCAAATACAGGCTAAGATTACACTCTTTGGCTGTAAGGGATAGGAGGTTGTAGTACTGATTCATGTTTAATATTATCTGGGATTAATGCGGTATGAGGTGGAATGTATGTCTGTTGGAAAAAAACAGATAATTTAAATTTCTTCTGATCCACAAAAAGGTGTCTATAGAATTTACATATTTATATATGTCAAATAACTTACGTCATTGTTGCCCCAGGGTCAGCAGTCATTTGATTAGTGATAAACACAGCAACATTGTATTCTGAAAATAGAGCATAAATGACTAATTTCAAAGTTAGTTGTTGAGTTTAGAACCAGACATAAGTTGGCAATTTTTTCAAAGCAAAAAGAAAACACCTTATTATTACAGATTTCAGCAAGGTTGAAGTATAAAATACGTTCTGCATGGTTTTATAAGGTGTACATACTTTCTGAGGCCCTTCTATAAATCAAGTAATGAAATCAAAAGTTCTGACTTCACTTGCTGTATACGTATTCCAAGTCAGTGATTCAGAAAGTATTGAAGCCAGAGTGAGCCAGGCAAATATCGTCTGCAGAACGAGGTCAGCAGCGGCAGCATACATATTTCCCACAGCATGGGTTTCTTTAAATTAAACTATACAATACAGGGCTGCTATTACTGACATTGGTATAAATATACTAGCTGTCTGGCTATTCTTTTTTTTAACATTCTTTATTTTAAACTCAACAGTTAACATGACACACTACCACACACACGCACACACACCAGGGATTGGTGTAACATTTTAGGAGCTTGTAGGAGAGAAAAATGTGTTCAGGTCTCTCTCCCACTTTTGCAGGAAGTAGTTAGTTGCAAAATGCTGCTGTTGCAGGATGAATTGGTAAGATAAAGATAGAGCACCCTTCAGGGGTCCATTTGATTTACAAATTATTTCAAATGCATTGCTCTCCGACTAAGCTAGGGAGACTACAATGATCTATATTATCAGGCCTGTCACCCAGCTTAGCTGTTAATTGAAGAAACGTGAAGTGATTACAGAGAAAGTCTTTGTTTCTGGTAAAGAGCGCAAAAAATGGGAGCGTTGTTTACATTTCCAGAAGTCAAGTCCAGAGAGTGTAGCTAGTCTGGTGCAAGCCAGGCGGATGAAGATGTGAAATTGGCTCCCACAAAACTCTACGCCAACACCTGTCTGGCTATTATCCTGACTCACTGGCTTCAGTATCTTCTGAGGTACTGACCAGCATGCATATCAGGAAAGTCAGAGTAAACTCAAAAGTCCTCATCGGTATAATTAAAGCGTTTAAGCAAGAGTGTCAGCAGGTCAGCTTGGCAACTAACATTTGCAGAATGACAAGTTAGTAACAGTTTCAGATATGGATAGCTCACATTTTTGGTTAGATATACATATTTGATGAAACCCTTCTGCAGTTCTCTTGAGATGAAAACGTGGCCTCACTTGAGGAGTGAACTCTGTTTGATGACTGGAGATGCGGGATGGAAGAGATATGCTCTCTGGTCCCACAACCCCACAATTCCTATTTTGCTCTTTCCCCATGCTGCCCTACCCTATCGACCCTTCAGTTATTTTCTAATTTTAACACCTACCTACCCTTTCCCTTTCTTCCGCGCTTTTCTTTATCTTCACTTTTATTAAAAAGAAAGCCAGAATGTATTCTGGTTTTAAGTAGAATGATGTACAGAATCACAATGTTTGTCCACATGCACTTTGCTTTCTATCCAGTGTGTAACCTTTTGTTATAAATAAGGAATTTATAAAAAAAAATACATATTTGGTGCACTAGGGTAAACCTAGTGATGTGGAACAGCTTGTCAAATATCTCAATTTAAATAAATTGGCTTAGCTTTCACGCACCATTAAAACTCTACAGAAATAGAATTTCTAGACTTAATGTTAACAGGTAACCCAATACATAAGGTAACAACCAAGACAAATTTTCACAACTTAGACATTAATAACTATATCTCCACTTTTCAAGTACACAATATATAAAGGCAGAAGGCAGGTTACATGATGAACTAAAACATACACTCTTCTAGTATCCTATGTTGAATAGAAATAGTACAACATTCTGTCACAAACAATTGGAGGATCATTCATAAAATAGGACTTACAGTACTTACTGAAATACTTTTCTTGGAGTGTATTCAGTGACACAAAGTCGTTAACCTGTAAGTTATACTGCCACCCACAGGAGGCTTGGACAGCGTCAAACAACTGTAGGGTAGGATAATTCTCTCAATTTTGTAACATTATAACAAACGTGTATAACAAACGAGCGGTTCCCTGTATGTGGATGGATCGCAGCTGTGGAGCAGCAGCGTTTTGTCTTAGTAGTAGGTGGTTCAGGTTGGGTATCAGCTATAACACTCTATAATGTGGGAGAGTAAGCGCTGACCCCATATACTTCATACACCACCCAATTTGCTATCGAGAGATTACCACTTGCCGTTGTATTCTAGTCATGCAGCTGGCGAGGCTCAGTGTGGTAGCCAATAATGAAAATAACTTTAACTTAAGGAAAACTTCGGATAAACAGTATATACGTGCACAGGGGTCTGATGGGGATTTGTAGTACTGTATAGAGGTATTCTGCAAGGAAGACACCAGCAATGTACTTAACTCCAATATTGACCCGAGTACAGTCTATCCATATATAGCAAGTATTTCTACATCAGGAGTAATGGTATCCGCCTTAAGCATATAAGGAATATAGCAAATGGATTGATATGCACAATATGTGGCAATTCAGGTTAAGTAGTGCAGTGTACTTGCGGTTGCGTAGCATATGGAAGAAGTGAAGAGGAGTCCAGCAGGATAGCACAGATGGCCCCTCTAGGTCAGCTTTAGGATCTCATTGACACTTGGGGTGCACACAGGGATCCAAGAGCCACAGGTTCAGGATGGAGTGCAGTGGTCGGTGCGGCCTCTGGCCGGGCACTGCGGCCTCTGGGCAGTCAGTGCGGCCCCTGGGCGGTCAGTGCGGCCTCTGGGCAGCCCCTGGGCGGTCAGTGTGGCCTCTGGGCAGTCAGTGCGGCCCCTGGGTGGTCAGTGCGGCCCCTGGGCGGTCAGTGCGGCCTCTGGGCAGCCCCTGGGCGGTCAGTGCGGCCTCTGGGCAGCCCCTGGGCGGTCAGTGCGGCCTCTGGGCAGCCCCTGGGCGGTCAGTGCGGCCACCCTGGCAAAAAAGTGAGCCGGCCGCAACGCGGGCAGTGTGTTCCGGTCCGATTCTGACCAGAACGCACTGCCCTATGGTGTGAACGAACCCTTATGGAATAGTGGTTGCTTTGCTAAGGTGAGTTGCTGCCAGATTTAACAAAGTCCTTTTTAAAGAGATACAAAGCTAATAAGAACTTGGGGGAGCAAACATATTGAGGGGAATTTAACAGTTGCACATTGTAACCGGCTTCTCTCTTCAGTTGCACTTTAAAAATGAAGGAGATAAGCTGATTGGTTGCCATGAGCAAGTACTCCAAATTTTGTCTGCTCCAGTTTTTTTTTTTGTTTTTTTTCCAGTTTTGATAAATTGCCCTCCTTGTGTTTCCAATCTTTGCAGAGATAGACTTAGAACAGCGGGTGGACCAGGAAAGTCTCTACAGGGGGGCTCTAAGGCCCCGTTCACACCTGGGCGTTTTGTAGCGCGTTCCTACTCTCTGCAAAACGCTCAAACACCGAAATGGTTCACACCTGGGCGTATTACAGGCCGTAAAAACGCGCTACAAAACGCCCTACGCCCAAAGAAGAACAGGAGCTTCTTTGGGGCGTATTTGCCACGCGTATCCATTGGGATACAGCCAGGTAGCCCTCGGAATCGCGCGTTTGTCGTGCGGTTTTTCACCGCGAATCACGGTACAAACGCGCTGCACGAAACGCGTATATTTGGTACGCCTAGGTGTGAACCCAGCCTTAAGGATGCAAGACTGGGAATAGCAGTGATAGAAGCAACAGGCTGAACCTCTAGTTTCAGAGTGGTGTTCACTACATAAGTGAACACCACTGCAAAACAGTCTCTTCCTTCCTTGGAAGTGAAAGGTGTGGGAGTGCGGTTGTGGCCTCTGTGGTCAGAGTCAGCAAATAACAGTGTAATGTGGGCCATAAAGTATGCATACTTATAATAAAGGAGATCCAGCCATAAGCAGCAGTGGGGAGATGCTTCCTCAATGGTGAATGGCAGAGAAAATGATGGAGCACTCCACCTAGCAGATTACATCAGAGCTCAGTCCCTCAGCATTAAGCCTTTCTGAGTTAGGAACTGCAGGAGCTCGGCGATCTAAACAAATAAGGTAGCAACTGGTGCTCATCCCAATCAGCCTACTGTTGTGGAAATTTTATTAGGATGTGTTTTTAGTATATTGTAATATTGTCATCATATTGTCTCTCAGTGTCAGGTTTACTGCGTCACGCTCGATTGGAACGTGACCCGGATTAAATCACCACTGAGGGTAAACCATTAGAGTAGATATCTTCCAGTGGATGTGCGTGGCGGAGCAGTGTTTTCTTAGCGAGTGTATAGACGCCGGCTAGAGCCCCTGCGCAATACGCCGATTTATTGGCTTGGCGTGGATGCATTTGCTTTGAGGACATAGTCTTATTCAAGATACATATCTGGGACGGCAGCTGCGACACAACCCGAGTCCGGCTCTCAGCGGCTCCTACAGAGACTCACTATTACCGGAGGTGCCGTCGGTGGGCTGTGGCGGCTGGCCAGTGGAGCTGGCAAAAAGTTGAGCAAAAAGTCGATGCTACAGTTGTCTGCACCAATAAAAATATTGCTTATATCCAAACTATTCAGATGCAATTAGATGAAGCTTGGGCTATTACTGACCTTGAGGCCACGGTTCGATTGTTTTTGAAGGATACTCTTCCTGATAATTCAGATCATAAGTTAGAAGTGGATAGGGTCCACAGGGCGCTTATTACATCTTGCCCTGATGGCCCCCCTCGAGACGTTCTGGTGAAACCGCATTATTATCAGACTAAAGAAATGTTGATGGCAAAAGTTTGGAATCTTCAGGATTTGCAGATTGCATCGAAACCAATACAAATCTTTGCGGATATCTCCCCTGTTACTATCCAGAAGAGGAGAATTCTAAGACCTCTCCTTCAAATCTTGACAAAGAATGCCATCAAATACAGATGGGCCTTCCCATTACTAGTGTATTTTTTCTTTAAAAATAAATCGTATTCTTTTTCCACAGTGCCGGAGGGGCAAATGTTGCTTTCACAGCTGCGGCTGCTGGTAATGGAGCTCTCACAATCAGGC